GACAATTTAATTGTGATGATTAAAGAGCTATTATGTACCTCTGAAAAAGTCCCAGTTAACTTATTTAAGAGGGTTGATTTTCCAACAGAAGGAAAACCCACAAGACCAACCCTTGCATCTCCACTTTTTGTAACATCAAAACCTTCACCAGCACCACCACCTCCCTTTGTTGTAGGTGTTAGAAGCTCCCTTCTCAATTTTGCAAGCTTAGCCTAACATCACAAGTAATCAATTTAACTATTTTAGCTTCTGCTAAAGCAATTAACAATTAAGCAACCTACTCATATTTACCTTCAACAAGCCCAAATGATGTGCAGTTGCTTTATTCTTTTGGGTCTTCGCCATCTAAAAGGAGAAAAATAATGCACTCAGTTAGTTACATTTTATTAGGTATATAACATGCAAATAGCTGAAATTCTAGCAATGTATCAGAGATAAATCTGCACATTCTGCTTGCAGCTAACAGCTTCATATCCATAAAGATTTTGTATAGCTATCACAGGTGCACATTTAACAAGCAAATCAGAGCAATACATTTATGCTTTTGAGAGCCTTGAATTCAGCATACATTCACCAAATATCTCCCCAACATGTCCAAAACATATCAAATGTGCAGCTGATATTAGCTCATGTAACATCAACACTCAAAATGTAGCCGTTTCTTTAAAAACAGGATCATTAGGTTCTTGAGATTAAACCTTTAGTTCTCATGTGCAAATTCACTAAACAGATTTTTAAAAAATATGTACACAAGCAGCTCCCCTGCACTAAACTGGCCATCAAAATTGTGTTTCCATTGCCGCAGATAGGAAATTTGTTCTAGACTGCCGCATCTAATTTTTTTTTCCTCCAAGACAACTTACTTCGAAGTTAAAACGTAAACTGTGCCACGTCATAACTCGTATTGTAGCTTCCTACTGATTCTAAGGAATCAAGATTAACCAGAGCAGTGGTTTTGAAATAACTGCAAATAGATCACATCGATTTATAATACCCGAGTGAACTAAAACAAAATCGTGTAAGCAAACTCGATTACTTAAATTAATTATGATGTTGCGAAGACATAGCGATGTTTCTAGGGTTCGTGAACTATTGCCTATCCGGTATACGAGGTATGGATATAGATGGAAATACGAAAGTATATAGATGGAACAGGGGTAATACCTCATCTTCGATATCTTTGATTTTCTGCATGACGGTCGCCATTGCTGAAGTAAAGAAAGTACTGCTTTGATGTTGTTTTCGAATGTATGAGCTTAACTGGTATCGATAGACGAAGGAAAGAGGGTTCTAGAGAAAATGGAATCGCAGGTCAGCTGCCCCTAAAAACCCTATTTTTTTTCCTCTCTCGTTTTATTTTAATTCAAAACAACTTCATATTTTATTTTGAGTAGCATTTTACCCTCAACACGTTAGAGTGGCGTCAATGGATTTAAAAAATAGTAGAAAATAAATTGTTACATGCTGAAAATAGATTAAAGATAATTTCTATTTTCGTAGTTGAAACGTAAATAAATTCGAATCTATGTCAAAATGTCCATCAGTAAGTTTTTTTTTTTTTTTTAAATAACGAACGAAAATTATAAATTTATGTCGAGATATTAACTATATCCAATTTATACCGATACATATATAAAACTAAGAGATAATGTCGCTGTAGCACAATAAACTTTTGTGATTTGTCCGACTTGACCAATTATGTTTTTTTTACGCATTAGATCATGTAACTTTTACTGTACATGTCAATTAGGTCATTATCGTTAGTTTTTAACCATTCATTCGTTAACTAGTTATCTAAATTACACGAATGGCCCCTATGGTTTAAATTTCTTTCGTACTTGGTCGTTATCATCCATGTTTTAAATCACACGATTAAAACTACCACAATTCTGAAACTCTAGGGACGAAAATGTAACATTACGCCTGGATCATACTTCATTCGTTTGCAAGTTTCTATCTTGATTTGTTATTCATCTCAATTTGTTCCTGGAGTTTAATTGCTTAGATTGTTCTTAAATCAATAGTGTTAGAATCAACGGTTAACCGATGGTATTGTTTTAAATATGGAATCGATTTTAAGAAAGCCTATTGTTTGTATATGGACGATATTTTTGGTAAATTATGCTATGATCAGTCAAAGAATAAAATGTTTTGGTTGATTCGAAGTTTGATTTAAAAGATTATTGGTTGATGTTGGATCTGTTGTTGATTTGATGATTGACAAAATTAGCAAATTGATGAAATTAACAAAGTGGTTATGAGGTTGTGAAAATATACAGATGTTGAAAATATAAAAATAACAAAGATCAGCGAATCAGAATGCGTCGATAAATCACGATGTTGAAGGGATGTAAAGATCGTATACCAAATTTTATGGAAGGGATGTGGTAGTTGATGTTAATGATCCGCTTAATACTATTGATGGTTCTAACAAATGGTAAAGAATTTTGGGGATGATGATCGGGAATCTTAAGAAAAGTCATATATAATGGTCAAAATTGGACTTCTTGATTAACTGGTATCAAAATGAGTATATGAACAATTCGAATTGGAATTAGAATTGAAATTTGGAGTTGAGTGGTTGGATTTCAATACATACCGGGTTCGATACATTCAAAGATGGTTGGATGATGATTTTTGAAGTTGAATGTAATTTTCAAATGTAAAGGATTGAAGCATCCAGTTGCAGTTTTCAATTTACCTGAATGTTGTTTCGATTCCAATCTGAGATGGTGTTCGATTTACAACCTCCAAATTTGGTCCCTAGAGTTTCAGAATTGTGATAGTTTTAGTCGTGTGATTTAAAACATGGCTGATAACGACCAATTACGAAAGTAATTTAAACCATAGGGGTCATTCGTGTAATTTAGATAACTAGTTAACGGAGGAATGATTAAAAACTAACGATAATTACCTAATTGACATGTACAGTAAAAGTTAGATGACCTAATGCGCAAAAAAAACATAATTGGTCAAGTCGGACAAATCACAAAAGTTCATTGTGTTACAGTGACTTTATCCCTAAAACTAAACAGGTAAAAAATTAGTTTTTTTTAAGTTAACAAACTAAAGTTATGGATGCAGTTTGTAGATGGGAAAATCGATGGTGTCAAGATAACATTTTAAAAAGTAAAGAGATGAAAAAATTCATTTTCCAAAGTAAAGAGGGCAAAGAAAATGTTATCTTACAAAGTAGAGGGGTTCAAGTTGTAGATGGTAAAAATCCAAGGAGTCAAAGTGACATTTTAAAAATAGAATGTGAGAAAAATCATTTTCCAAAGTACATGAGTGCAAATTATCGGTGGAAACATCCACCAACATTGTTTTTTGAAGGCGGTGGATGTTGAGGAGAGAAACTAGCAAAAACCGTTTTGTGCAGGTCAACTAGAGAGGTTATTGAAAGGTCGGGGAAGTCTTTTAGTCGCTGGTGTTGAAGAAGCAGGCCAAATTGAGGCAGTGTAACTATGGATCGAAGAACGAAAAACTACAATGGGTAAAATCACACAGCTTCAAAGCAAAGCCGATATCTCCACCCCAAGCCAACTTGAAATATATACTTTTTACAAGCCGATATGAATTTTAGTATTATATATGTAATATAAAATTTATTAAGAAAAAACTTAATGTATGATTTTGAGTGTTAAAAAAAATAAAAATAAATAAATAAATAAAAAACTTCAATTAAATAGACAACTAGAGATTACAAATTTTTAACTTTTTATTTTAAAAAACAAGCTCATAATTCCAAAACTACTTCATGTGGCTTTTGATTATTTGTAATTTTATAAATTTCAAAAATTTGTAGTTATTTTTTATAAATATTTTTATATAAATAAAAATTAAAGTTTTTCGTAGTCAGCTTTCAAACTTCTGAGTACCACCTATCAGCTTCTAAACGTCAATTTGTGATAGAACTCTAAAAGTTTTAATTTGTGATAGGAAATTAGAAATCTAAAAGTTGATGAGAAAAAAATTAAATTTCAAAAGTTTCACAAAAGTTGCTCTTCCTTAAACTCTTAAAGGTGTTGAACTTGTTATATATAAAGAAAATCAATCAATTCGATATATATTACTTTGAATAAAACGTTTATTTAAATTTAAATTTAAAACTTCTCCTGTTACTTTTAACTTTAATAATTAAACTAGGTGTAAGCCCATGTATTATATGGGTTTATTTAAAAGAAAATTTAAATATAAAATTCAAAATATTTGAGAAGTTTGAATTTATAAGAAAAATGAGAAAAATATTTAATTATAAAAATTAAAATGTTTTTTTTTCTCTTTTAAATTTAAACAAATGATTTAGATAAATAAATAAAGGAAATTAATGAAACCTTAATTTAGTAATTTTGAAATTAAAAGGAAAGTTCATTAATGAAATTGATATGCATTTATTATTAGATTTAAATAATATATGAAATTTAATAAAATAGAAAAACCATAAAATGACATTTGGAATAAAAATTAATTTAAAATAACCATAAAATTATATGTAGCAAAATGAATATGGCAAAATGAATAAAAATATGACAATGAATCAAAACCAAACTTCACTGTAAACTGAAAATTCAAATAAACTATTTAACTGTCCAATAACTTTATAGATATTCTTAAATTTTAACTTTACTTTAAACACCTGATTATTTGAATTTGGAAAAATCAGAATCAAAACCATTTCCTCCAATATTGTAACTTAATCACTTTGATTCCACATCACATTTGTTCATCCGATTACGATTTGGCGTTGTAAAATGAACCATTACAAATTATTTATCTTCTAGTATGTGTATAATTTGTTCTCTAAAGTTTCTTTTCAATACATTTTGATGAAAAACTATAAATTTGTAAAATGTACACGTACAATGAACAATTACAAATACGTCAACAAACTGACTTCGAAAATATTCCACTATTCGGTGTTTTTTCATGCAATTTCACACTTTCACAACCCTTAAAAATGGTGATTTAAGTTTAAACCATTTGAATATAAATTTGAGCAATGTCAAGAGGAAAGAGGGCTCATTACACTTGAAGTAGAAGTTCACAATATATGCACAACAAACCAAATGTAAGAAATACAAGTAGCCTTTGCAACATTTCAACAAAAGGCTTTTTATTTGTAATCAAGAGTCAAGACAAGATAATATACATTCACATTTTTTTAACAATCAACAATACTGCTTCAGCTCTTAATTCCCCAAAGATCTGTATGTATACCTTGAGGATAAGGACCATATCCATATACATTCACATTTTTTGCAATGGCAATAGTTCAAGATCCTGCAAAAAGAAGGTGTTCATAATATCTTTCTGGGATAAATGCAATATTAGTAATCAACTTTCATATATTTGCTTATTATAGCATCCTCTACTTTCATTTCATCTACCAAATTATCTAGTAGAATTTTCATCCAAATAAGAAATATATTTGAGAGTATAATGCTATAATTTGGTAGGTATTTCAAATATTATATTAACTATAAAAGAGAAAGAACATACCCTGGTAATATAATGGAAGTCACAACTCACAGAGAAACAGCCATGCAATGAAGAATTGAAGAACTAACAGGAACAGAAAGAACCACATCAACCCACAAGATCGAACCGTTTAATCCTCCATCTTCATCCGTATAAACTTCAATCTCTGCACACATAATTGCTTTCTCACCACCACCACCCTCTTTGCATTCCCACACCACACACAACCTCCCATCCAAATCCACCATTGTTGCACCACACAAAAACTTCGGCAACCCTTTCTCCACCCCTCTTAACTCCTTCCAAACATCCTTCTCAACATCATACCCTCTAATTTTCCCCAAATAATCGTAGCAATACAAAACCCCATCTACAACTGCAGCTCGCCCCCTCCATCCCATGTCGAGCCTCTTCGGAACTCTCCCCCACTCCATATCCGCCGCATCATAAACCACTCCGCCCCTGTCTGCCATCGCATAAATCTTACCATCTATAACAGCATTAGCATGCATCCATTTGTCCTTTGCCTCCACCGAACTGCTTGGTAGCGGGCACCACACGCCCACCGCCGGATCGTAAACCTCCGCCCAATTTATCGACCGAGTCCGATTATCCACCAAACATCCACCCATCACATATATCTTTTCATTTACCGTCGCTGCAGCTGCAAACTCTCTCCCAACTCTCATTTTAGGCCCAATTTCCCATTTATTAACCCTACAATCGAGAACCCAAACAGATGTCGAGGGAATATCGTTAATCGAACCACCGATTAGGTATATTTTGTGGCCGAGTACGGCATATGCAGAACCGACGGGTTGAATTGGGATGGGCGGGAGAGGAGATAAGCTGCCTTTATCGGTAGGGTTAGGGTTTGGGTGATAATACCACTTGAAAGAAGAGTTGTGGCGGATGTTGAGGTAGAGGGACTGTTGTGTCGAACGGATGAGGGATCGGATGGCGAAGAAGTGTGGAGAGCGTATGGTGGATCGCCATAACTTGGAGACTAGTAAGAGGGAGCGGTGGTAGGACCGTGGAACTCTAGCGATGCATTGGAGTGCGACGTCATCTGGTAGGTTTGGTATCAGCAGTGGTGGTTGAGGTGGAAGCGAGGAGGAGGCGGCCGGTGGTGGGTTACCGGAGGTGGTTTGGTCCGTCATTGGTGTTCAAGTGGCCTCAGATGCGTTAAGTTACTTGTTTCTTCATGTTGATCGGATATTTTGTAAAAGATCTAGAAATAGGGTAATGTGCAATTAAAACATGATATGATTTTAAGGCAACACTTTGAGTAAATCCTTTTAACGTGATCCAATCCTATTGTTAATATTTTTAAAGCGTGACATGATTTTTATGCATTGACCATTGCTTGTTTTTACTAAATTAAATGTTTTTTTTTTAATTTGATTTTGTTAGTGGGCATCTTATTCTTATATATTTTATAGCAATTAAATAATGGGTTGTTTGACCTTACAATGAGGCATCTCCGATTTGCAAGGTTATAAGTACAGAATATTTAAATTGTCTATGGATATTGTATAGCACATTTTGAAGCGGGGGTAATTTTGTTTTAGGAGAAACAAAATAATATTTTGAAGCGGGGGTAATTTTGTTTTAGGAGAAACAAAATAATTTACAAAATATGAAAGAATGACAAAATTCTTTGAACGATAACAAAATGTAACTATATATTTATTCTAAATTAAATTGTTTATTTAAGTTGCAAACGATGTTGTCTTACATCATTAAATAACCAAAATAGAGTCTAATCGACATATACAACAATATATCCCGTTCTACTAAATTTCAAGTTTTAAATAAGTAGGTCATATCACAACTCTAATTCATTTTATTTAATAGAAATATATATTATACATATCATATATATCTAATTTCAAATTTGTATGAATTTGACATATATAGCTAGGCTCATTTATTTTTCTAACTTATCTTGACTGAATAGTTAAATCATCCTAGATTTGAACTTGGGTAATTATAAGAAGATGTTTATCAAGTCTTACTTAGTTGAGCCATCAAAAGTTTATTATATAATAATTAAATATCTCAATTAATTGAATATAATAATTTTTAAGTGAAATAAATATTTAATTTTACCTTTAAAAGATTAGATTAGTTAATGTCTCTAGTCATATATCTTCTTTTCATCCAAAAATGTTGGATTGGAGATGGCTTTTATTCTTTGTCAATTTCAACATACACCCATGGATAATAGGTTTAACTTAAACCATTTATTTCACAATAAGAAATGCATCATAACATTATTCAAATACCATCGTTGATGACTAGTTAGTTTTCTTGATTTTAAGGTTAATATAATTATTAATGAAAGAAATAGGGTAATATTTTTTAAGGAAAAAATCACAATATTCCAAGAAAAGATTTTAAATCTAATATAGTTTTTAATGATATGATTTATTTAACGAATTTTTAAACTAAAATATAGTGGCGTAGTGGAATACTTAGTGTAAAACTTTTGACTAAAGTAATTAAATTTTAAGAAAATATAATATATTGACTATTTAGAAAATTTGTAAGACATAAATAATTCTTTTGACAAAATTAAAATATAATATAAAATTAAGCAAAACATATTTGATAATATGAACAAAATGAATAAAACGAAATGCATCCTCAAAGTAAAATGGCTCAACACTTTATGTTGATAACGGTTTGACGGTCACTTTGAAGCCACTCCCGCCAAACCTTATCGGTTGACGTGCCAACTAAACAAGGGACTCTCTCTCTCTCTCTCTCTCTCTCTCTCTCTATGTCTTCCATATCTGTTTCGCTCTTCGGTCCTCTTGCTCGATCTACACATTCTAGAAATTGGGGAATCAGATCTTCGTCAGCTGCTCCCCCCAACGTCGACTTCACCTCTCTCGAATCCGCCATCGCCAAGGTTTTTTATTCTTCGACCTCTCTTCCAATTTTAAGAAATTAAACATGATGCTTTCATTCAACGTCTCGTAGAATTATCATAGTAACTTTTATACTCGTATTCGAATCATATAAAAAACCCAATTTCACGAGGTTCCACTTCAAATTAACCCTTCGATCCGGCATTATTGAACTTGTAGAGATGCAACTGAAGCTTGTATTTTATTACACTAGTTTGTTACTTAAGCATCAAACACTGAGTAGTGAATGTAGTTAAGGTGATACTGAAATGTTATTTGACAACCACCAATGAACATCTGCATGCTTCCTATATAGATATTGTTTTTCGGAGAGAACAATCACCCAATCAGTTTTATTTGGGTTTAGATTTTTTCAATTTGTTTGGTGTCCTGCATTTGATTTGATGTAATTCTATTTGCATTTGCATTTGGTGCAGAAGGATAGTGATGGTGTTAAAGAAGCACTTAGTCAGCTCTCTGAAATTGGTTGGGCCAAAAAGTGGGGTTCTCAACCCTATGTATCCCGTCGCCCCGTAAGTCTTTACTCACTACATGTATCCCCTTTTTTTCTATATGATAAGCCTAGGGTTGTTTGATAGTTGCAGATTGAGTCATATCTGATTTAGTGGTAAAATATCATTTAACAAAACTGCTGGATTTTTTTTCTTTAACAGACATCTCTACGTGAGTTGACAATTCTTGGAATGAAAAACGCGGAGAACCTTGCAATACCTAGTGTTAGAAATGATGTAAGTTCTCATGAACGTGTTTAATTAACTACCATGATTTGAGTTAAAAGCTCAATGATGCCAGAGATACTCATCTTTTCACATAAATCTTAATTTTATGATATGATGTATATATGTTTCATGAAATTAATTTCATGACAGTGATGCAGGCTGCTTTTCTTTTCACTGTGGTGGGAACTACAGGGTTCTTGGGAGTTCTTGCTGGTCAGCTTCCTGGGGTGAGTTTGAATTGAATAATTCAGAAACTTTTATTTAGTTGCTTATTTATCTCATAATCATATATACACAATCAACAGAATGCCAAAAACTCTATGTGCGAGTATCATTGGAATAATAGTTATCACACATGATATATAACTTGTTTTCTCATTTTTGTCTATTTTTAAAGTGGTTTGACTTTGTAACTAATTCAGGACTGGGGCTTCTTTGTACCATATCTGATTGGGAGCATCTCTTTGGTGGTTCTGGCTGTAGGGAGTATCTCACCTGGGTAACTATATCATGAATATATATAATGGACGATTATGCCCTTTATGTATCTGTTACTAGAGCTCATTTCTTCAATCTCTTATCAAATCTTGCATGGTGAGGGATAATAATGAACACTCTGGGTCTATCTCATTAGTTCACCTATGATGTAGGCTTCTTCAGGCTGCAATAGGTGGATTCTCGACATTTTTCCCTGATTATCAAGATAGAATTGCCAGACATGAAGCTGCTCATTTTTTAAGTAATTTCTTCTCATAGATCTCGACACTAGTTCACCATTGATATCAGTCTCAGTCCCAGTCCCAGTTCCAATCAAAATGTAGCACAACCTGTTCAAGCGGGACCTATGAGTGTGCTTACATGGCATTGTATTTTATTTTTATTTTTTTTATTGTTTGCACTTTGCAATTGAGGTGCTCTGATTGTCTGTGTTTTATACCTATTTGCTTTGAATGGCATGCAGTTGCCTACTTACTAGGTCTCCCTATCCTTGGGTACTCTCTGGATATTGGAAAAGAGAATGTGAATCTGATAGACGAAAAACTTGAAAAACTCATATACAGTGGACAACTTGATGCTAAGGAACTTGACAGGTAAGTAACATTACAATTTTTCTGCTAAATCCTTGCATATTAAGTTAATACTTATATATAAGAAAGCCTCATTTTTTCTGCATCAAGTCAAAATGAAACAATATTTTAACTACTAAACTTGACTCTCAGGTTAGCAGTTGTTGCAATGGCTGGACTAGCAGCAGAAGGTCTAAAATACGATAAAGTGATTGGCCAATCCGCTGACCTGTTTACTCTACAGGTAACTCGATACCTTGCACCTCAAGTCAACTCTCAACTTCATTCAACTGTAATCTCATGAAATTCTCTTACTTACATAATTGTAGAGATTCATAAACAGAAGCAAACCCCAGGTTAAGCCACAAGAGCAGCAAAATCTAACCAGATGGGCAGTAAGTCATTCAATCCCATAGCTCGCATTTGTTACACTGGACTAGACAAGCTTTTTAGGTCTATTTTCTTTGATGAGGATTATGAGGGCATTCTCGTCTTTTTGTACAGACAAGAGATGGGTGAGTTGTCAGCGTACCTTGTTTCACCTTTTTGGATTGGACAAGAAATTAGTCTTAGTCCAATGCAGATCAAACACAGTACAATATGTTGTGTCATGTCAGTCATATACTATGTAACAAAGGGGGTGAAAAAACTGCAGGTGTTGTTTGCGGGGTCACTGTTGAAAACAAATCAGGCACTTCATGAAGCTCTAATGTCTGCAATGTCAAAGAAGGCAACTGTGCTTGAGTGCATTGAAGCGATCGAGAAGGCTGCTGTATGATTCCCAGAATAATATATAATGTCATATATATAAGACCGAGTTTGCAGCAATTTGAATAGCAGATTTTTTATCACAAAATATAGAACTGGTGTTAAATTTAATACACCGAATTCTGCAATAAGAATTATTATCCACGACTCGTGTGTTTGGATATTAGAAATGATGTAGTCAAATACTACAGTATAGACAATTTGTTAGGCGTATTGTCAGACGCAGCAAGAAAAAAAGGGGCACTATCGTGTACCAGACGAAGCAAGGGTTGAGAAAACTCTTCTCGACTCTTTATATTAATTGAGAAATCTCAAAACATAAAAACGTATATGGCTTGACTAGTTATATAATCCACAAAATAACAGAACTCTAAAACTTGGAAACAAAGATAAGTTGGAAACAAAGACGCCGAAATAAACATAAAAACTAAAAAAACTCAACTTAAATAACTAACAAAAAAACTCCTGGGAGTTTATCCTGTATATCTATCCTCATCATTCTCCCCCGCTTGAAACAAAACTCGTCCTCGAGTGACTCTCAGGATATAAGAGCACATCTGGTTGGAATATGGTGAGGTCAAACACATTGAATGTACGAGAAATGAACCAGTCATCCGGAAGATCAACGACATAGGCATTATCATTCACTTTCCGAAGTATTTTGCAAGGGCCAATTTTCTTCATCTTAAGTTTGTTATACGTACGTACTCGAAGCCACTCTTTTCGTAAATGAACCATAACAAGATGTCCCACCTCAAAAACTTTTTCACGACGATGTTTGTCACATGCTTCTTTATACTTAGAATTAGAAATCTCCAGCGTTTGTTTAACCTCCTCTTGGACTGCTTCAATCTTTTCAGCTAAATTTCTAGCTACTAAACTATGACGAGGTAATGGAGGTAGCCGAATAAGGTCTAGTGGATGCTTAGGTTGCCTTTGATAGACAAATTGAAAATGCGATTTACCAGTTGGCATGTTGACCATGTTATTAAAAGCAAATTCAGCTGGAGCTAGAAATTGGTCCTATTGTTTAGGACGATCCCCACAAAGGCACCTTATCAAATTTCCTATGGTCTTGTTCACCACTTCAGTTTGACCATCTGCTTGGGGATGGAAATGTTTGGGGATGGAAAAAGGTACTAAATTGGAGAGTAGTTTGAAATAACTGCCAAAGAGTGCACCAAAAGTGACTAAGAAACTAGGTGTCACGATCAAATGTTATTGTCGAAGGAATGACATGCAAACGTACTATTTCTCGAAAAAAGGTTAAAGCAATATTAGATGCATCCGCAATTTTCTTGCAAGGGATAAAATGTGACATCTTAGAGAAGTGATTAATAGACAATATATATTTAAGATATTTAACAGTATTTTATTTATCTTATTATAGATGGTACTAAAGTGTAATATCTAGTCTTATATATAGGACCTTTATTGTAATCTTCAAATCTTAAGAATAATACAAAAATCATTCGGTGGCTTATTATGGTATCAGAGCCGCCACAGCCTCTGTAACCCTAAATCACCGATTTTTTTTCTCTTTTATTTCTTCTTTCAATCATTCTTCAATGGCGATGATCCAATCCTTTACCAATGTTGAGAAAACTACTCACAATTCTCACAAATTCTCCTTTAAACTCTCACCCACCAACTACGGATTCTGGAAGCAAATGATTCAGCCCTTCTTGGTCACCAATCGTCTATTCGGTTATATAGATGGTACCATCCAATGTCCTCCACCGAAGACTGCTGCAACTACTGACACAGCCTCCACTGATAACCCTAGCTATCTTCATTGGATTACCAATGATGCACATGTGCGGATGCTTCTTGCCTCTACTATTTCAGAAGCCTCCTATCAACATGTTCAAGGTACAACTTCCCGGGATCTATGGCTCTCCCTTGAAAGAGCCTATGCCCCCAACAACTCTTCTCGTGAATACACATTGAAGACTCAACTTTTGAAGATCGAGATGAAGGGTGATGAAACATCATCTGCCTATCTCACCCGAGCACAGGAATATGTAACTGCTTTAGCCAATATTGGAGAACTCGTAAAAGACAAAGACCTAACCATGCTAGCTATCTCCGGGCTACGTGATGAATATAATGGCCTAAAGTCAAATCTGTTGGCTCGTTTCCCTCCAATAACCTTCCATGAACTGCATGGGTTATTAAGTGATCATGAGTTTATGATAAATCGATCACTTCCAGCAGTCCCCCAGGCCTTCACGGCTGCTGTCCCACCTGTTTCACGCCTCCCAGCTGCCCCACCAGCACAATTGACTAGTTTACAGCAGCTGGCAGCACAACTTGGCTACCAAATCAGCCCCATTGTGGCTACAAACAATCAGCCCCAAGCCTTCTATACCAACCGAACTTCAAACAATTACCGGGGCAAGCGTCGTGGTTACTCCCGTGGCAACTACAACCGAAATCGTGATGATTCACGCGTTTCTGGTTCCGGTGGTAACACTCGTCCACCTCAGTTTGCTTGGGCTTCAACTCAGAATATGGTGTATGGCCACTGTAACCAGTGTGGCATAGGTCATATTCCAGCCCAATGCCCAAATCAGCCCACTTTAAATTCAGCTTGTGACGTGTCACAAGCCAATTATGCAACATTCTCAGAAAATGGCTCGGCTGCCGGTTCAACATGGTTTCCCGACACTGGGTCAAACAGTCACGTTACACCTGACTTCACAACTTTAGACAATGTTGATGCTTACAATGGCAACAATTCTCTTCATGTTGGTGACGGTAATCCTCTCCCTATTTTTCACATTGGTTCATCTAAACTATACTCTCCCAACAAAACCTTTAATCTATCTAATGTTCTTCATGTCCCTGAAATCAAAAAGAACCTTTTATCTGTTCAACAATTCTTCTTAGATAATAACGTGTTTTTTGAATTTCATTCGTCCTTTTTTGTTGTGAAGGACGAGTCTACACGTTCCATCCTACTCACGGGACCAAGTAATCAAGGGCTATATTCGTTGTGTCTCCCAAAATTGAAGTCTCTTCCTCATATGTCTTTCACCGCCATCAAAGCATCATCAACCACTTGGCATCATCGTCTTGGGCACCCTCATGCTCGTGTTTTTCAATCAATTATTTCTCGTAGTCATTTACCTATTTCTTCACATGTAATTTCTTCTTTATGTTCTAGTTGTCAAATGGGGAAATCGTCAAAATTATCATTGCCACTTTCAAATTATCGTAGTAATCATGTTTTGGATTTAGTTTATTGTGATGTTTGGGGCCCCGCCACATCTACTTCTTTTGGTGGTCACCGATATTTTTTATTATGCGTTGATCATCATTCACGATACATGTGGTTTTACCCATTAGCTCAAAAATCGGATGTTTATATCACTTTTAAAAACTTTGTTCTCATGGTTGAAAGACAATTTACAACAAAACTTAAACAAGTTCAAACCGATTGGGGGGGGTGAATTTCGCACTCTTGCATCTTTCTTCACCTCTCTTGGTATAATCCATCGCCGCTCCTGCCCTCACACAAGTGCCCAAAATGGCCTTGTTGAGCGGCGTCACCGACATGTGGTGGAAACGGGCCTTGCTCTCCTTGCTCACTCACATGCTCTTCCACGTTTTTGGGACTTTGCTTTCGAGACAGCGGTTGACTTAATCAACCGTTTGCCCTCTCGTAATTACTCCAACAAATCTCCTTTTGAGCATCTTTTCAATAAAACCTCAGATTATTCTTTCCTTAGAATCTTCGGGTGTCAATGCTTCCCGTATCTTCGCCCATATAACCGACATAAAATGGATTTTAGATCCACCCCGTGTGTTTTTGGGATATAGCCCTCTTCATCATGGCTACCGGTGTTTGGATCCAACCACTGATCACGTATACATTGCACGCCATGTTCGTTTCAATGAAGAAATTTTCCCTTTTACCCCTTCTCCTACACCTTTACCTACTGAAAACGAACCTCCTTATTTCTCCTCCTTTCCACAACCTCCACCCATTCCCGACACTCAAAATGCAACCCCGGATCCACCTACTACTGCAGCTTCTTTTCAGCCCGCTGCAGCCCCGGTTACGCCCGCTGCTGCCTCTTTTCAACCTTCTAACAGCCCACAAACTCAGCCTATACCTGCTGCCCCTACACCAAATTTTCAGCCCCAACCTTCATCATTACCCACACAGCCCCGTACCCGACCTCCCAACCTTCGCCAAAACCCAAAAACCACCACTAGATATGACCCATCAGCCTACTTCTCTTCCAATTGTCCTGCTGATTCTATTGAACCATCCTCTTTTACCGTTGCTAACAAATCACCAATATGGCGTCAAGCCATGACGAAAGAGTTTGATGCACTTGTCAAAAACGGAACTTGGTCTCTAGTTCCATTTGCTAAAAACACTAATGTCATTGATTCAAAGTGGGTTTACAGAATCAAAAAGGATGCAAATGGGAATGTTACTCGCTACAAAGCCCGCCTTGTGGCGAAAGGCTTCAACCAACAACCGGGTGTTGACTACCAAGAGACATTCAGTCCCGTTGTCAAAGCAACAACAATCCGTGTTATTCTATCTCTTGCTATGACAAATCAATGGTCTCTCAGACAACTTGATGTTAAAAACGCCTTTCTCCATGGTGATCTCAAGGAAACGGTTTATCTACGTCAACCACCGGGCTTTGTTGATAAATCAAGACCTGATCATGTTTGCTTACTCCATAAATCCTTGTATGGATTGAAATAGGCACCGAGAGCATGGTTTGAACGACTCTCTACAACCTTACAGTCTCTCGGTTTTGTTGGTTCTAAAACCGATCCCTCATTGTTCATCCTCAAGAATATGGGTACATTAGTCTATGTTCTTGTTTACGTGGATGATATTATTGTTACCGGGAATGATCCTCAAGCAATCACAGGTGTTATCTCTAAATTAGGATCAACGTTTGCTGTCCAAGATCTAGGGAACTTACACTATTTCTTGGGCCTTGAGATTGTTTCTCATGGTAAACACATCATTCTATCTCAGCGCAAGTATGTCTCTAACTTGCTAGCACGTACTGGTCTAGCAGATTGCAAACCCGTGTCATCGCCCATGAGCAGCTCTCAAGTGTTAACCTTGTCCGACA